GATTCTATGATTCTAAGAACTACTTTAGTAATGATTTGCTAAACATGGCAAACGCAACTGCTGTGGATCTGAAATGGAAATGCTCAGTAAAATCTGTTGCTGGTGGGTTTAGTAAATGTCCTTGAAGGTGGATACCTGAAAACGGAATGGTCTGGTGCAAGGAAGCCAAGAAACATACACTTCTATTCTCCTTCCAACCACCATGTAGTCTTTATTAAGCAGAATATTAAATTAAATATGAACAGCATTTGTCTCCTAAAATTCAATTTTTTCTGAGCATACGTCAGACAAAGTCCATTCCATCATCTGTCTGACTTTTAACTGTTTGCTAATGCAGTATCTGTTATGAACTTGCATATGGTAGGAAAATAAAAAGATGGGATAGTTATCTGGATTCAGTGAAAGGCATCCAAAATAAATTTCAGGAAAATGATCTTAATTCATCAAAGTGCTTCAGCTTTAAGCATGCAAATAGCCAATGAATCACATACTTAAAGTAAAACTCATGTATGTGCTTCTTGTTAAATTAAGCATAAATTACGTCTCCATATCAAACAGCAGCAAAAGCCCAGTAAAAAGACAAAACAAACCCAAAAAACACAAAGAAAAGATAATCGTGAAAGCTTTGGTTCAGAAGCAATGCTTTCTCAGATGTAATACAGTCCACATAAGGTCTGTTTTGTTTTTACTCAGTCACTTTATTATTTATTGCTCAGTATCAAAAGGAATCAAACTGACATTGATTAAAGGCCATTGTGAGTTGTAGGTAATATTAATATAATTCTTTGAATAGTATGATGCACATTGTAGGGATAAATTGAAATCATAGAAGACTGAAATAGGAGGGAATCACAGTATGATACAATCATGTAAACAACAGCACATACGTAGAGATAATACAGATTTCCTTTGCCCACTTGACAGGCCTGATCAAAAGTAGCAAATATTTTAATCCTAACAAACACTTGAGCTTTTTCCTTTGAACAGGTGAATATAAAAAAAATATAATCTTATAAAGCAGAGTGGATCAATATGTCTCTACTGCTTTTCCTCTTGATCTTTAAGGCTTATCAGAATCCTCTGTCCTCCCACCGAGTTTATTAGTTACTTAGGAAAATGAGCTGAGCAAATGTTCATTGTTTGTACTGAAAAAACCCCACATTTATAAATTGCTGATATTCCCACAGAAGATATGAAATCAGACACTTTTGATCAGCCAGGAGGACATTAGTAATTGCTATAGACCACTTATGTTACGAAGGACCATGTTTCAGCAGCTGACACTCCTGCAACAACTTCCTCCTCCGCAACTGAGTGATACGTAAGTGCTGCAGAACGTGTCTCCGAGAGGCTGAAGACCTGTCTGCTCTGTGAACTTCGGTCACGTGTAGCGTTACGTTGGATTTCATAAGGCTTTGTGTAAGATCAGCTATTCACATAGGGCCACCCAACTATGGAGACCTGGGCTGTGCAACACAAATTCAAACTGCCTCAGTATTAGGAATCAGGACTGGTAGCTTGTTTTTAGAAATAACGTCAACTCTGCAAAGGCCTATACTAACTTGCAGCGTGTGAATTTCTTATTGCAGTTCAGGATTCAGGACACCAATTCGGGGTTAATCGCAGTAAAGACTGGCATTCAGTCTCAAGCTGGTCATATAAGGCATGAATTCAGCAGGGAGCTTTGGGATAGGACTTAATCTCTACGTCATAATACATGCTAAGCTGTTTAAGTGTATTTGGTGCAATTACATCCAATTAAATACTTGGAAATTAGGTTCCCTGTCTTTAAACATCATAAGGCCCCTGTTCTACAACAGGATTGGCACTGGCTGACATGTATCATTTAGTGAAGATCCGCAGTCCCCACGGACTGCTCTCCAGGTACTAACAGGTTCATATACCCAAAATATGTTTGAAGAGGGAGGCTTATAGGGACAAAACAGACCTGTCTGCACAGTTTCACTGGGATGGAGAGGATTTGCAGGATGCTGACAGTGGTTTATGCCAAGGAAGAATTCATGTCAGTGTATTTACTGCTGAATCTGCAAAACCTGTGTTTAGCAAATGAAGATGACGCCTTTGGTGTGTGAACACGGTGCTAAGACATTCAGTGCCTTTCTGTCACAAGTTCTGGATTTCGATAATTACAGACTTCACTTCTATGTTCAGTCTGCCCTTTCCTTTCAGTCTTCCAGGGGGTTAGTTAACTTTTATTTTTTATAAACAGGATTAATATATAAAATCTTTCAAGTGCAATAAACACAGAAAAATATAAAATGCTTTAAGCCTGTGGCTCTCTCCCAGCATTTTGCCCATTTGCTATATCACCAGATAAAGGTGCAGGAAACACAGAGGGACGGTTCCAAGTAGGCTTGTCAATTGGAGGACCGGCTATATTTGTGAGCTATGAGAGCAGCCTTCACACCCAACATACTTTGAGAGCTTTTGCTCGTATACAGAGGAAACAAAGGACACACAAGTTTGCTACTCTCTCATATGGGACGGTTGCAGAGAAAGAAAAAGCTGCCGACTTCCAGGGCACAGTGCATTTCTTGGACTGACGTTCACATGGCGTCTCCAAACTGCTTCGTATGAGACTAAACACCAGGACTAAACGCTTAAACTGATCGGTTGATACAGGGGACAAAAACTGTAGAACCACAGCCACACTTTACTACAAGCATTGGACTGTAGTACAAGGACAGTTTGAATGGTATTTCCCCCCTCCCCCCTAAACACACACTTCAAACAAGAAAGCAGTCCAACAGTTTTCTAAGACACAAGAACAGGACATGAGTTTAGTCCTTCAGAACAAGCTGTCTGTCTCCATCAGGGTCATAACAGCCATCTTGCACCAGAAATCAGCCCAGATTGGTGTTTTTTGCTACCTTACCTTATTCCTGTTAGTATCCAAGGACCCCTCTTTTCCCTAGTCGTTTCTGACTGTATCTTCTTTCAAACATTGCACTTTTTTTATTCCTTAGTGTTGCTGTGGCAGTCAAAATGTCTTTTTCTCCTTGTAGTTGCAGTTTTCTCACTATTTCCCTGAACATCTGCAAGACAGCCCATCTGGGTTGACACAGTGTGAGATGAGGCAGACAAGCATTGCCAACAAAGGGCTCCTACTGCAGCAAGCGGGCTGTTGAAATCAGATGTTTTCTAAGACATCTATGGGGACAAAACCTTTCTTCTTACCACTGTATACTTTGATAAAGCCATCATGTTCCTTTTCAGAAGTCACACAAATCTGAATGCAAAGAAAATAGGAAAATAATAAACTCTTTGCCATGATCAAGCAACAAATTATTCCAGGCTATTTATCAGGTAGGTTAGACATCCTGCTAGTTAATTCTATAAGTAGAACAATCCCTTTTAGACTGTCACTGTTGGATAAAAAACTCAAACTCGCACATGTAGAGGCTTACCTTTCCCACTGCCTCTGAAGTGCCACAGGAGGAACACTAAAATCATTAAGAACTTTGGGTTGGATCAAAGATTTTGAAACTGGAATTATGACTTCAGCTTACTGTAATGATTGTGATGGAGTTGTCTGTGTAGGAGAGGATTGAGTATTTCAGATCATGAGCTAGCTGGCTCCCTCAGCAGTTGAAGGTGAAAAGTAGTAACGGTGCAAAGGTGGGTCACTTGTAGAAGCTAATCTGAATGCAAGCATAATCCCTTTTGCATGTCTAATGAGGTCCAGGTACTTCTCAGATGGGTAGTGTGTTATCTGATTTACTCAGCTCTTACACCTACAGGTGCCTGTGCTTGTTGTGGACACCAAAGTATTTGATCTGAACCCAGCTCTGTGAGTGTGTTTGCATAACACTTACTCCAAATGGAGGCAATTATGGTGAAACCATATGGTCTTTACAATAGTGTAAATATTACATCATGGCAAAGGTTTACATTTCCTGAAGACCATTGTGGTCTCAGGTATTTCCATTTTGGGGCCCATCCTGACATATGTTTGGTAATGGTTGAGCCATTTGAAAGCCATTTTCCAACTAATCAAACAAGATTAATAAATAGCCATAAAACTGATGATCCTATTGAGACCAACTCACTGATTCCTTATGATGTCAGTGCCAGGTATTTAAAGCCCTTTGTCTGGGCTAACACTCACAAAGGCTTTGTCTGATAGGTATTTACAGTGTTTAATTACAATAATTCAGAGGGTAGGGGATGAACAAAAATGGCTTGAAAATGTTCCTGGCTAAATGCATTTCAGCATGACACTTATGGGTTGTATGGTGACACCTAAATACCACACCTGAATTCTGGCCAGCGTGCCCTCCTGTTGTCAATGCATAAAGTTTACTAGCAGCACTTATGCTGCCAGATGGAAATGAAAGGTCAAAAGAAGGAGGTGAAGCTGCTTCATATTTGCTACCTCCAGTGTTAGGAAATGATCAGGTGCATCTCTGTACCTCCAAACAAAGTTTTTGAAAGCAAATGGACTCATGAATTTTCTTACTGAAGCTACCCACTTAACACTAACTGAATTGGATCCCTGGGGCAGAATGACTGAGCACTCCAAAAGAGTGTGCAATTTAAAAAAATAATGTATTGTTGTTTGGGCTAAATCACATGGAAAGCGTGGAAGCGGTGTAGCATTCATGCCGTTTCTAGGTATTGCTGCAAAAGATCCAAGCTCATTTGTGTCATGGATCCCCAGCACAGCAGCTGCCCCTTTTGCAGTTACATCACCGTTCAAAACAGAGAGGTGTAAAGAAGATGTACACAGAAAGGTGTTTACGAGTACTGCTAAATGCTGGTCTGTGTCTCTGAGAAAGACTATGAAAACTTAAACGATGGGAGAAAAAGCCTACAAAGGAGCATCCAAGGATGGACGAGCAAGGCACAGTTCCAAGAGTAGGAAAGAGCACCTTGGTTGAAAGATGCCCCTTCTTGGTTTATCCTTGCTGCTGTGTGGGAAAATAAGTCTTTGCAGCTTCTCTATAAATAGACCTGGCTGGTTAAAAGGAATGCCTGACTCCATCACTGTGCTTTCCGTCTAACTAAAGATGTCTGCAAGAACTCTAGCTTTCTGCATGGGCCAAAGAAACCCCAAAAGCAGTCAGATCTCCAGAAGGGACCTGCAGCAGGTCTGCACTGTTCACCAGCCATGCTGAATTTCTTGCTTAACTTTTTTCCTGTGCCCTGGCTCAAAAGATTAGTAGTGGAGTAAACCACAGGGTAAGAAACCACAGCTCAGGCTATTTCCCAGTCATCAAAAGATGTTCAGAAATTGCGGTAAGTGAGGTCTAATATTATAAAGTCACTTCTCCATACTTTCAACTAATTTTGTTAAAAAAAAAAAATCAAAACAACACTAAAAGTAAGACAAAGAACTGTTGGGATCCTGACTGTTGTCTGAACTTGTCAACATCTGCCCTCCAGGATTTGTTGTCCATCAGTCAGCCCCAAGCAGATGGGGGTAGATGAGCAATTAGGAAATGATCCTTTAAGCTGCATGGTCATTCGTACTCTTCTGTTCTTCTAAGTCCTGTGCTTTGAATTTAGGCTCAAGTGGCAAATTCTCTTTGTCCAGGAGTAACTTTGAACTTGCTCTAATTTTCTGCAGCTGTGTTTTGCTTATCTTCTCTCTCCCATATATGTATTTAACCTATCTGTCATCCACAGACTAGTCCTGATGAAGTAGGAATTTAGTTATGAGGACAGTACAGTTTCAATATCTGTCCTGGAGTCTGCAGGCAGTGCCAAGTCAAGAGGTTTGAAAGCTCAAGTTTTCTGTTTGTCAGCAAGAATGACAGCCAAGGGACACTGAGTTTCTATGTCTGCTGCTCACTGTGCACTAAAGGTGTTGCCTACGTGAGCTCTGTGGATGGAAACGATGAGTTCATTTTTTCATATCCATTCAACCATAGTGCAAATGATGATGTTGCACTAGCTTTTGGACTGAGAACAACAGCTTATTTTGTGTACAACAAATTTGTACTTATTTAGGGTTTTAAAGATGACCTGAGCTAAACTGGATGCATAATGGGCTGTGCCCGTGTTTTGAACTCTTGCAAAACTTGTGTGCCACTCAGTATCTCTGAATGAATGAGGACACCCACCCCTGTTCAGCAAGACTGACATCAATGAAAATCACAGATAGCTGGGAAAAAGACCCTTTTCCTCTTAAGCCTAGCTGGGAAGTGCAGCAGTTGTAGCTGGGGAGCACATGAACCAACTGCGACATCACTTCCTGCACTAGGTTTGTGTTTTAAGAGATGCGGTCCGAATGCAAGTCACTGTTACGCAACTGATATTCAAAGTCATGCTCTTAGAAGCTCAACTCCTTTTAGAGTATACCAGGATGAAAAATGTAAGGATGTAAAGTAGCTCCTAGGCAGTGAGGTGAAAGAAGACTAGAAAACAGGTTGAAACCCTGGGGGAGGAGACCTGGGTCACAACCCTGCCTTGTTAAGCCTAACCTCATGGACTTGTTTAGAGGCATCGCCAGACTCTTCTGGGGTGGTTGGATCAGATCAGCACATTGCTACTAATGTACATGTGCCTAAAAGTCACTTTTTGAAATTCAAGTGACCGGGTGTTTGGGTAGGCAGGAAGTTTGTCCCCTGAGCTGTGGTGCCAAGGGGACAGCAAAGCTGATGGCTCGGGTTCAGAGGTTGTGGCCATCACAACAGCGGTGGCCCATTTGCAGTCACCCCAGAAGCTGTCTGGGAGATGCTTTCAGTAACAGCGCTAGTTTACATCAGTGACATTTATGAAGCACTTTCATTGCAAAATGGATCTGTTGCAGTGACCTTTACATAAACTCTTCGTCCACATTTGGATGAGGCAGAGAGTTTCCAATTGCCAGTCTTGTTACAAATGTTGTGGTCTGGAGTGATTTCTATTGCACAAGATCACTTGTGTAATTTTAAATCAATTGTGTTATTTAATCACAAAAAGCCCAGTTCTAAAGTGGTTTGTATTTGTGTGACTGTAGATGTCAGAGAGGTTGACGGTGAAGGGTGTGAGTAGTTTTTGTTGTTGTTTTTTTTTTTTTTTAAGAGGTTATTTCCTTTATTTAAATAGGATATTATAAAAAGAGTAAAACCAGACATTTAAACAGTAGATTATTATGACTTCTTTAAAAGTAAGGATGACAGAAAATGTTAGAGGCATTTCAATAGATGCTTTTTCAAACATCCATGATCTATTTCATATATCTTTTCAAAACAGTGACTTTTCTTTTGTGAAAAGAGGTCAAATCAGAACCTGTAATCAAGCAAAGAAGTATTTGAAAATGTGTGGCAATGAATTTGGGTAGGCTAGAGCAGAAATTACTGTCTGGAGAAATTTTATATATCCAAATGATGGTACAATCAATGAGAGCTGGAAATTATGCAGTCAGTATTGTGTATGAGACAGCTTAAAATAGGGGAAAGCCACAGAAATTGTCTGGTTTTGGCTTCCCTCTTAATAATCTTGCTTTACTGATGTCAGGGGCTAATTCTTCCTCCCCCCAACAGATTTCTAATTGAGCCCTGTGGTGCTCAGTCATCATCTAAATTTGTTTCAGGACCCACAAATCTGTCAGTGAACCTTGAACTCCAAGATGCTGATGTCTCTGAAGCAGTACACTTTTCCTCCCCAAGGCTGGGTTTTATATTTCATAATGAAATTTTCCAGGGATCCTTTGTGAAGACTAGCTTGTGCGTATTGCTCAAGATGGGTGAGGAAATTGTGTTGGTTTTCCATCAGTCCTCTCCTTGAGTATTAGCTTTGCCAGAAAGGTTTGCATGAAGCTGAAACTCAAAATGTTATTCCCAGGGCATGAAATGGACAAGTAATTCCAGAGAAAGCCCTCAGCCACTGTGCTTCAATCTTTGAAAATAACTCTGCTTGCCTGAAATGGCTTTTCTTAAGGTATTTCTGTGGCTTTGTTGATGTGAATGTATTGCCTTTTGCCTTACAAGAAAAGACTCCCTACCTGGGAATGTTTCCATAAGGCACAAAGGGGATAGAGACCTGCAGTATAAACCATGGATGGTATCAAGCAATATACTGAAAATTCATATTACTGTAATTGGATAATTTTCCTGTTGGCATATCATCCTTGTTTTCATTGTCAGACTGGTTCTGGACTCTTGTTAGACCCTGCAGGATCTGACCCATTGAATTTAACCTTATAAAATGGAGACAATTTGCCTTACTATAGTCACAGGAATTTATTAGACCAGTTAATGAGTTTTTCTAGCTAAAGTGAGACTTGACAGGAACTGGTAGCAATGAATGATCTCCCCTCCTTGGTAATCTGGAACAAGCCAGTGCTTTGCACATTGTACATATATTGTGCTCACAGCAGTCTGGACACTCTGCTCAGAGACAACTAAAATAGCTGGTTACATCCCACAGAAATCCTCAAATAAAAAAAAAAAAACCCAAACAAAAAAAAAACCAACAGACTTTCCCCAGAAGTCTCATTCAGATGACATCTTTTTATGCTTTCCTTATTGCATCCCTCTCTCTCTTTTGCACAGAAAACGTCAGGGAAAAAAAGGATGGAAAATAGAAGAAATGGATGGAAAAAGTAAAAAAAAAGTGGCTTTGGAAATATAAAATAAGATTTTGAAGTAAAAAATTCCCAATAACAATTAAATGGTTTTTCACAATAAGAGCTGTTTCACAGTGAAGGCTAAACCAAAACAAACCATAAGAATGGTGCCATTCAGGCAATGATCTCCATGGTGAGCACACATCTTGCAGTCTGGGTTTGGGAGTTCCTGTGCTCCTCTCCCCACGCTGCTGCTTGTCATGGTTAAAACCAGCTCACTGCTACGCGCTGGCCCTGTGCAGGCTGCCAGCTCTCACTGGGGGCTGTTATGGGGGCGCTCAAACCTTTATGGAGGGGCAGTGGGAAGCAGATGAGTGACTGTGGCCTCACTGTGACTGTCCCTCCTGGAAATGAATATGGCCTTGAAGCTACTTGAATGTAGCTTTTTGCATAATTTGTGAGAGGGTGGAGTGGGATCTGTTGGCTGTACTCCTTTCCTCTCGTGTCTTTGCATTTGTGTGTTTGTTCAGTCTGACCCCTGTTTTACACCAAATATTTATTTCTTTCTTCCTCTGAAGTCTCTCCCCAATGGAGTGAGGATGAGACAACGTTCACCTTCAACCTCAGCATTTACACGGGCTTGAGATAGGGCTGAATAAGTTTGTTAGAAAGGAGGAAGCAGTAGACAGACAGGATGGATTCACCCCTCTCTTTACCTTCTACCCTACCAGAGATGATGACGAGCTCCTGATGGCAAGCTCCCTTGTGAGTCTATTATGAAACAGGGACAATAAAAAGTTCTTGTGTTTAGATGAAGCTGCCAGACATTCCCACTTGGAAAATGTGGTTTTGTGAGAAATGAGACAAGAAACTGGGCCTTCATTGTTTGCAGCAGCAGCAGCCACTCTAACAGGGAGGATCTGGTATGTCTGCTGATGAGAAGGGATGCAGACCTTGACCGTTCCTTCATGGTGGCATGCCATATTCCCACACTACCATTTCCGCAAGCTTTGCCCTCGTGCATGGCACAAAGGGTGCACATATCTCTCATTATTCTCTGCTTTGGTGGTATTTTTCCCCTCTTTAGGATACCTTAGGCAGGGGGTATGCATTTGCACAAGACCAACACTGCTCTTAACTGGCTACTAGACACTATTACCATACAAATAGGAAACGCTGTAGTGAAATTACAGTAAGCATCATCTGCCTGTGTTCCTCTTACACAACTTTTCCTCAAGTCCTTGGTCAGAATGCCGGATGCTCAAGTCCAGTGGGGATCTGGTACAAGGGAACTTACCTGGTTCTCTTTTAGAGTTATCTGTCCCTGTTCCTTGCAGCCGATGAATGTCCTGATACACCTGTAAATCTTCTCATCATGTTGCACTCTTTGAACGAAGTTAGCAGGAAAAAATCCAGTTCTGTCATCAATTTTCCCCTGTGGAGAAAACATATTGATAGGTATTAGCACCTGTAGCTTTAATACAAGTTCAGTGTTGAAAATAACTTATTTTTCCCTTTGGAAAGAAAACAGATAAATATAAAATAATTAACACATACCTTCCACCAGTCTTCATTGGAATCTTCCAGGAGAGTGATCATATCCCCTGGCCTGTAATTAGAAAAGAAAAAGTAGGTTAAGATGACTCCTAATCATTACGCTGCATGAGCTTCCACAATTATCTTCTCATAGGAAGGTGGTCCTTCCTTGGTCATTTTATCTGAGCGTTCACTGCAGGTCAACTCAATGAGGTAGCAAAGTTTCCTTAAATCATACATGGTAGTGCAGAAAGTGAGTGTGTATATTGAGGCTAGATATGTATTTTGAGACAATATTTGTGAACTGGATTTTTTGCTTCTTGTTTAATAAGAAACTGTTTAAAATACCAGTCCTATTTGTTACAGGCATTGTTATGTCAAGACATTTCACATTGTTGGGACACACCACTTTATCATCTGTGTTTTCAAGCTGTGATTGCAGAAGGAAGGCAGCAGGAAAATAGTTCTAATTAACTGACAAAGGCAATTAGTCAGCAGGGATACAATTCTGCCCAGGAGTGTCTTTTTTCGGTTTGAATGGGACATATTTACCTTTATAATGTGTGGTATAGGGTTGTAATTGCTAAGTATCAGCCTCCAGCTGACTAGTTCCAAAGCAGAGCTAGGAGAATAATTTGGCTGGCAATGCTAATAGCGAAATGTGCTGAACTGATTTTGTGCAGGTAGTTGAACAGTTATTTGACCTCCTTACCCCCACTGGTGGCACTTCATCAACGTTATTATGTAATTATAATAGTGCTGCATTGTAGAAAGTAAACGGCAGCCTATTTCTAAATGTATTAACCTCAGAAAGCTCTGTCTGCTTGATAAGAGGTGTTCTTTGATCTTAATAAAATTAAGGGTTGACCCCTAATTTCTTGGCTTTCCTTGCATTTCCTGTTAGGTTCACTGTATTGCTGAGGTATCAGCACAAGGTCTTGCAAATGCATCTGGAGCATGTGCTGGATAATGGGACCAATTTAATGGGCTCTGTCAGAGCACGCATAGAAGCTGTGGACCGTCTGGGATGCAGCTGAAGGGGGTGGTGGTGCTGGGCCTCTTTGGTCCCCTTGCCCAGTGGTTATCATTGCTGCCTAAGAAACAGGCATCTAGTTTCCTAACACTGTGTGATCTGAACCAGAGTTTTCCAGATTTCACAGAAAGGCATTTTCAGTAGGGGAACAGCCTAGGATTTTCCTCAAGCCCTCTTTGGGAAGCTGTTCCAATGTGTTTGCAATAACTAAATGTTGCTGAGGTGAGAAAGGAAGCTAGAGAAAAAGGGCAACTTGGTATTGCAGTGGTGAAGATTTCTTCTATAGGCAAAGACATCTGAGTCCCTTATTCCAGTTAATATTTAATATAAACCACTTAAAGAGGTTTTGAGGGAGCCCATCTTGCCACTTCAAAATGACTAGCCTGTAACGCCATCAAAACCCTTACACTGCAAGGAACAACACTTGCAACAAGACAGATTTAGAAAGCCACATCATCCAAATACCCTTCTAGCCTGGTTGTTAGAAAAATACCTTAGAAAATACAAATTTATTTGGCTGACAGAGAAAGATAGCAACGGAACCTAAAGTCTCTCCATGTCAGTGGTCTGAGCATTAATGTTTTTAAATGAAAGACTTGCAGATTTTGCTTTCTGGTATTTTTTTCACACAGGGCTAACATAGATGTCTCTAGTCTCCAAAAAGAATTTAAAATAGAAGTTCCAGCTGTACCTATGTTACTCTTGTTTCCTAGATGTAGGCTGCTAATCCCTGAGAGAAGGCTACTTCCTTGGTTGAAATCACTTATGGTTAAAAATACTCATGGTTGAAATCACTCTCAAGTCTCATCTTTTTCTTCTGTAAATCACAACTCTGGATAAGTTGCCTGCTCTATATCAGTGCTCTAGATTTCAGTAGGTGGCAAGATAGGTGCTCATCAGTCCTTAAGTGGCCAGACAACAACTGATGATCATTATAGATCCTTTCCAAAATTTCCATTCCATTCCATTCCATTCCATTCCATTCCATTCCATTCCATTCATCACTGAAGTGTCTGAAACTCGAGGTCCTGTCTCCAGGACTCTCTACTTATTGTAAACGAAGGCCATCTTTTAGAATATGCATATTCTGGAATTTCCTACGTTACTTACACCAGAGCTTTGGAAAATTTGACTGGCTTGTTCTGCGGTTGAGGAAGAAATGATGGCTGTGGCAAGAAACAATTGCTGCTGAAACCAGGACTGGCACTTCTCTGTTGCAGTAATATGTCACCCACTGCATCCCCTCAGAGCTGAGATCTCCAGAAATCTGCTCTAACTCTTCCCAGCTCAGCTTCTTTCCCTGCTAATTGCCTTTGTTATGTTAGGGCTGATCAGTGTCTGGCTGGTCCCTGACTTGAGTTCCCAGGACAGTGTTTCTCAGTCTTGACAACATTGCTATGCTGAACCCATCTCCAGCAACTCAACTAGGTTAAATGAAAATTCATGCAACTAAACTCAATCCCGCTTGGCTCTGCAGTGACCAAACAACATTACTAGCTATTTGACATCCTTTATGAAACAGTGTTAATCCATATACTGCTGAATTTCTGGCCATGTGACAAACAATGCTAGCTGAGTAACACTAGTCTAAAACCTGGTTGGTGTCTCTGGAAAAAGCCTGTTAGTCATGATAGTCCAGGTTCTGTGGACCACAGGTTGCCTTTACCCTTAATATGAGTAACAGGAGAATTTTGAAAATTATGTGTTTTCTGGATGGACTCGTAGACTAGCGCAGGCTTGTCTGAGCGGTGTTACTCTTCATGGAACAAATGCACAAGCTGGGATACACCTCTAAAGGAGCAGGATGTACAGTGGAATACCTAAAGCAGAATAGCTGGCAAGTTGCACTGAAGGTCACCATACCCTGTGTTTTTTTCTGGAGGAGCTGACATTCCTAAAATAATGATCAGGAAATGCCAGGAAAACAGGATAAGGAAGCTTGTAATTCCACCTATTAGTTACAGAGAGATGGGAAGCAACAGCTGGGAGCAGGAAAAAGGCTTTCAGTGAAGGAGATGGTGATGAGAAGGACATTTATCTGGCATTTCCCTAAATCATGTGGCATGTGCATGATTATTTGGATATATGGTATGCCTAGAAGAGAGCCGACACATTTCATGAAATGAGCTCTAGGAAGACCATGCAAAATATAAGTAGCATGAATCAAACTAATTGTACTAAAAGAAAAGATGTCCTTTAACTTCAGTGGGCTTGGATTAGACCTTGCAGTGCTAGAAACTGATACAGAACTGAGGAAGGAAGTGTTAAAAATTATAATTAATAAGGTTATTTTGCAAAGATCAGAATGCATCTTTCTCATTTGAAAACACTGCTATCCAGCAGCTGGACTTTGTTCTCTTTTCTCAGACATAATCTGAATGTGAGGGAAAATAAAACAGGGCCGGTAAAATGTTCAGCACTAGCATGAGAACTGGTAAGGAATTCCTAGTTGAAAAGTTCCAGTTGAAAAAACAAAGCAATGGAAAAATGAATATTTCCTAGCTGAAAGCTATCTTGCTCCTAAAGTGACATTAGTGTTTTTGAAACTTCTTATCTACTGTGTTCTTGCCAACGAAGTTGCTCACCGCCTTTTACCTGTGAGAATATCTTTGTATCTATAAGTGGATAACTCTATAAAAGATGTTTATTACAAAGGTTAGAATGAACCCTCCCTCCCTCCGAAGTCATATACAGCCATATGAGCCGCAATTTAAATGGGTTAGATCAACGAATAAGCATTTTGGGGCTTTACCTCATCTCCAAGTCTTCATTTTCTTGTGGTACAAATTTGTACAAGGCAACATAGGTGTTCAGTTGTAACGTGCTTTTATAAAATGGTCCCTTTAAAAAAAGAAAGAAAGAGAAAATGTAAATATCTGTTCTGTACAGGAATTTGGTTCACTTTGTTAGAGACTGAGGAACCACGGCCTGATCTTCCAAGAAATCATCTCATTGCTTTTGCACCTTGGAGGACTATCACCCAGATACACTGTGAGTGACTAAGACAGTTTACATTTAGAAATAAGATTATTTGAACCCCAAGAACAAATTCCAGGCTACCAAAGAACACAAGCAGAAGTCTGCACAAGTTGGTCTTTTGGGTGGGATCTTAAAAATGGGTCTGCCTTTTGATGTTTGTTAATGTATGACTCCTACAAACCCAGTAATATATTACTGGCATCATATAAGGTGTCTGTTATACAGCCCTCGTTATGGATGGAGCTAGAATTGTAAAGTGCACAGGCCTAAAAACAGGGTGGGAAAATTACTTTCTTAAACAGAAAGCTGCTTTCATGGGGCTTCCCACAGAGAAGACTGGCTACTCTCTCTCATCCATTTCTCCACTGGTAATCTGGAGAAAAAAAAGCACCTAAACCAAACCCCAAATTATTTTCCAAATCAAACCTGTGATTTTGATGTGAATGCATTTCTATTGTAATGACCTGGACTCCCCACTGGATCTTTTGTATTCCCAATATCAATTTGAAACAAACAGAAGAACGTAAATGGGACCATAATGGGTAAACCAAAGAGCCATCCAGTCCCGTATATTTCTTCTAACTGTGGCCAGTGACCCAGGAATGGTATAAGAACATGACAGTCAGATGTTGATGCTTCTCCAGAATAATGCCCCAGCAGTCCTACCCAAGGTCCTCAGCTATCCATCAAAACAAGCTTTTCATATGACTTCCCTTTCCCATTGCTTTCTCACAAAATATATGCCCATACCGGGGAATGTATGCTTTTTGGTTCTTCTCCAAAGTGTTCTGTGCCATTTTCGGAGTATGTAAACACTGCAATAAAACAAACACATGACACTTTAATAGTTTAAGGCCCTTCACCCTCAACAAGATCACCTTTATTTTATTAATCTCTTCCCTTCCCCGTTTCTTTCTTCGATCCCTTGTACTCTCCTCTGAACCTTTCTACATCCCCAACAAAACCATGTATACCACTGGCACATGGCACAAAACCATCTCTGTCTAGAAGAATTTACAATTTTTATGAATAAACTATTCTGATCAGATGAATATGCACACGTACAGCACTGGGAATAGAAACTAGGTCCTCTAATTGCGTTACTATTTAAAGTCCAGCAGCCTTTTCCTCACACCAAATGCTGTATTCTCATGTCTAGGATGAGCAGGATTTCCATTTAAAAGTGTCTGCAAAACCTGATGACTATACATGAGGAATATTGTGGGAATTTTGCATGCAAAACCCCTTCTTCCCCTTTTTAACCCTACATCTAAATTTTTGACAGCCACCTTTGATTTCTCTCTCCAGTAGTCTCTGCCTGGGGGGCACTGGACACACTGACTCTCTGATTTTATAGGAGGTACGTGAATTGCTGTTAAATCAGCATGGGTTAGCCAAGACACGGGCCCGTATGTTTCAAAATATGCTTGTAAGTTACTAAATCAGAAACTTGCAGAATAAGGCTCAGGTCACAGCACCTAACATACCTGACATCAGTTACCCTCTACTGCAATTGCTTCATGAGCTGATTGATGCCTGTCCTCAGTTATCTCCCTAGAAAAACCACAGTGGCTTTATTACATGGACTGAATCCCTCCCTTCACCTTCGAAGAATTGCCTGGTGTTTCTTGCTTCTGGATAAAGTTTGAATATGATTTTAATAGCTGGAGTCTTTGAGCAGCTAGAACCATCAGCACATTCTCCCAGCATTTACCTCTGCAGAGGTTTTGAGCAGCAGTCTTTAACAATTTGGAAATCGCCAAAATGGCAATAAGTACACAGCTAATTGCGTGTGTTTTCTTCTTGTTTCTCTGTGATAGTTACATGTGTTCTGTGTCAAGAAAGTGCTAGGGAACACCAAACTGCTTAATTTCTTTCCCCCTTTGCCCTTTCACTTGCTCAGCCTTTCTTCCATTAACATATATTTCTATGTCTATTCTACATTGTAAATGACAACCAAACAGAGTCTTTGAAGAATTTTTGTGAGTGAATAATAAAGTTCCTTGATAGTAGAGAATTGTACTTAGACATGGGAAAAAATTTAGTGTTTTTATAACAGAGGAAAGATAAGTAAAACGACAGCCACAACATGCATGAGAAAGATTTTGTACGAAGAGACATGCATCCATGAGCACACAAAAGCAGGTGTTCTCTGATAATATGTAAGACAATACTGTAGTCGTAAAGTCCAATGTGTGAATGTGAACACAGCACCTGAGCTGATCCCTGCAGCATTTAACCTGAAAATGCCCCAGGTTGTGTCCAGGTGGTCTGACTGCAGCTGACCTGGGGACATCACTGTGCTCCTCACCAAGTTCTACTGTAGAGGGACTCTGACCCCGCAAACTGTCATGAGTACCAGCGGGAAAACCTTAAAAACAAAATTAATTTCTGGTATCTTCTAGCATAGGGGTATATATATACCTGACACCTTTATATATATATATACACGATTATGGTCTTTAAGGTCTAACCTAAACCATTCCATGCTTCTATGATTCCATTTCAGCAGCATGTTCTGCTTGGTGACAGAAATTAAAGCCTAGTTACTACTGTACAGCTTCATGAGCTGTGAAGCTGACCCAGAGGGTAGGGAGGGAGCTGGACTGTATCCTTTGTGTTTGCTGAGAAGTGCTCACTAAACCTGGGTTTGCAGGGAGGACATCCCCTATGTGTCTTGAGGAGAAAATGCTCAAATCCCTGTTGATAATAGACTCATACATGTCATTTCAAGTACATTTTAGCTTGCAGTACTTCTGTTATGGGTGGCAATTCACAGCAGTGAAGTAGTATAAGTGGCTTAGTGGAGGCTAAAGGGCCAGAAATTAGGTATGCCATTTTACAGTTGTAAACTAGGAAGCTTTGCTTCATAATACATGTGCCAGGGCCTGATTGAAAGAATCTTCCCTTGAACTTGTTGTCACAGGACTCTATAGGACTGATTACACAGCCACACATGTGCTGAGTATTTTCACACTTTTCCAGGCTGTGTCTTTTCTACTGTTTCCCTTTAAGCAAAGAGTCTCAAACATGCATTTTCCTAAAATCTTATTTGCAGAAGACAGTTTTTTTAATGGTAAAAAACCCCAGGAATGGACCTGATGCATCAAGGCATTAACATGGAACTGCCTGATAAAGAGGCAGTGGACAACTGAGGATAAAGGGGTGGTGAATCATCCTGTAACAACATTTTGAATTTACTTTGTTGAATTTTGAATCTCTGTTTAGCTCATGGTCTCTGAATATTACTTGGAGGCACTTGAATCTGAAGGACACAGAGGTATGTAGTTCATGTCTCTACACAACAGAAATCCCTCTATTTTCATATTTGTTTGCCCCAGCAGCAGGCCAAAAAAAACCCCAACCCAAAACCAAAAAAACCACCAAAACCAGGGATTTTTACAGTCTAAAAAGGATTTTACCATTTCCATAGCTTGTGCAAACAGTGTGGGCAGTTTATTAAAAATCTACCAAGGGGAAATTTTTGGAGTGACTGATGCATAATTTATACCCCGAATCTCTGAAGGATAGATTGTAAAAAAGCCAGCGCTGATCAAAGGAATCGTTAATGTGCCGCGGAAGTTATTTGGAGGTTTGACACATGCTGAGTTTTTAAACTAATCTCTTTGAGTAAGTTCCTTGAATGCTTCTCCATGCATTCAGTGAATGCAGATCTCAGAGAAAAAAATTTCTTTGGGTTTCAGAAATGAAACTACTGATCGAAAATAAAATAAAAATTTCCCTGAAAGCTCAAACTGGGCTAAATTAATCTCAGGTGGCCAGGATTAAACAACGTGAAACAGACTGAATTCTTTATCTGCAACCAGGTCAGGTCAATTTGCACTGGCAAGACAGAAAACCTAAAAACATTGTCAGCAGAAAGTAGGTAACATAGATGGGACATTGACAAAATGAGAGAAAGGAAATGAGGAACACAGTGAGGAGAAATGATAGGACCAGGAGGGGAGGAATGGAAGAAGGAGGTAGCATAAGACAGCAATGGACAGCTGAAGCTGGCAGTTCATCTCCATAAATTGCTAGCAGCATGCAAGGAGCACTGGAGATCTAACAGAAGAAAGCTATGCTCACTGATTTTATTTTTTTTTGTAGTGTACTTCCCACGCGAGTTTCAGGAAAGCAGCCTTCAGGTGCTGTTAGGGAAATTGCTCTGATGGTTTGTGCCTGAAGTTTTGCTTAGCGCTCCAAAATCCTTTCTACTTACTTTCTCTATTATTTACAGGCTGGATCAATGGGCTGA